TTCAGGGCACCTGGAGCATCCAGGTGATTGAAAATAAGACTGAATTCATACTTGTGTGCAATTTTATTCCATCCCCTGGTAAGTGCCATCTGGAACCACGTCATAACCTGGTCAGAATCAAGATACTGAGTGTCTTTGAAGCAAAGGAGATCTTCCACATGGTTATTCTGCCTAGATTGGCTCACTTTGCTATGAAGTAAACAAAGTAAATCTTCTCCCAATTTAGTTTTATCACAGATACAACTTGATGAGTTATCATCTGTCCGGCTGATCTTTATCATACCATAACTTTCTTTGTCCGGTAGAACAGACTCTCCTGAACACCAGGTCTCAAATTGGAAACAGTATGGCTCTGGAGGATTAAAGGGGACAATGAAATCACAAGTGAAAGGCTTGTTTGCTCTCCAGTTTTCATACATGCTCCCAACTCCTATAGACTCTTCCACTTCCATGTCAGTATCTCGATTACACATGCTTCTCAAAGCTTCTAATAAGTCATCTGCAAAGCCTTCCACAAGTTCTCGGTTCCTAGCAATATCACTTGTCATATTCTGGAGGCATCTTTCATAAAAACTGTCCAATGTGACTTTGTCTGGTAGAATAAAACCCTTGAATATTCTTCCCAGAACATTAATTTCATCATCTTCTTTAGTATAATCTTGCCAGTTCCCTTCCTGGTAATCCTGTCTCCAGAATTCAATCAGAAGGAAGACTATCATGGACAATGCAGTCCAGAAATTCCAAGAAAGTGAATCATGGTCGTACTGTTTTTCTGGTCCAGTCTTCTCCTCTGAGGAATCCACTGAAACTTCTTGTGCTGCTAATTCCTGCTCCAGTTTCAGCTGCTCTAACCTCAGGTTCTCCTCACGCTCTTTCATCTTTTCAATGATTTCTTCTGTGTTTTCAAAAACAGTAACATTTTCCTTTGGGAAGAGAAATGGATGGTTGACAATAGCTGTGATTACCACCAAGCACACCCGGAAGAATCCAGCCGGCATAATAAAATCTTATCTGTGAGAGAGACAGAGAAATATAGTTAGTTTTGCTGATAATGGCACATAGATACGAAGAAGTGTATTACTGGCATTGCTGAAATAACTGTCTAGCACTTTTCTTACTTTTCTCTCTAGTTCTAAAAATGTCCATGATTTCAGACATAGAAACAATTATCTTTATATCATGTACAAATGTTAGTATATTTCAGGAATTTACTTAAAGAGAACAGGTACTACCAAGAGAAGAGGAGAGAGAAAAATATCAATTTCAAGCAAAACCTGGATGTTAGTTATAAACCCCACAAGAGGATTAAAGGAAACAGATAGCAATGTTTATTTTGCCAATGCTCCATTTAATATTGCTACAATGATGAAGTGTATGAAGATTGTTTCCATTGGTGTCAAGAGACTAAATTTATTTTTTGGCTAATGAGATACTGTACAAAAATATGACTCCTGTGAAATTTCAGAAGGAACAAAAAACAGAACAAAACAAAACCCCTTAATTGATTTTATATATGTATGTCCTAAGGCTGTATTAGTTCTTACTGTTTTGCATGTTGATCTCTCATCTGGGCATCATTAAAAGGCTAACAACTATGTGCATTCTAAAATAAGTGGAAAAAAGAGCTTTCTTAAGATAGAAAACTGTATTACCTCTCCTAATACAAGTACACTGTATTTACAAATAGCCTTAAACCCCTATTTATTTCCCTTTTGTATTTATAACTGTTTTACTTTTAAACTTTCATTGAGTCAAACATTCTTCACGGTGAGGAAATTGCTAGCTTACATAAGCATTTCAATTACTCACATGTGTGTGAACTGATTCATACTTCTGATTTTTCATAAAGCATTATCTACAGAAACTGATCTTACAGCATTCACATAAGCAACTTAAAATGGATATAGTGTTTTATGTTACAGTATTATGCAACCAACACTTTACATATGAAACAGTTCTGGCTAATAAATCATATTAGTTTTAATATATCTGTTCTGTAAAAAGCATAGGCTACAGTTTCAATCAGACAGCAGTTATGAAAACTGGATCTAAGTGAGTAGCCATGCAAATTATGAAGTAAGTCAGAGTAGTCATCTGACAACTCTGTCAGGCAAGAAAATCTCTTGAAATTGCTGCTCTGGTTATTAATAAGGTCCTGGACTTAATTAAAAATGCTTAAAGCTTAAAGTAGACTTAAAGCTCTTTAGAATGCAGCACTGAACTGAAATAGTTCAGGCAAAGCCCTGTCAAAATCAGATCTGCCTGTCTTGTTCCATTCATTTAGATAAGGCCTGTTTTAGGTCCTCCTACAAATGAAGTTCACGGAGAGTGGGCCAGATGATAAGACCTTCTCAGTAGTGGCTCCCATTTTATTGAAGACTCTCCTACTAAAGGAAAGGACAACTTCTACTGTATACAGGTAGTATTAAGATTATGATCACTCGTTTAGCGACTGTTCAAATGTTCATGACAGCACTGAAGGATGGGGACTTGTGATTGGTCTGTAAAATTTCAGCTCTTGCAATATCCACATGGTCATTATTCAGGTACTTGGCAACCAGCTTGTAATTATAGTACAATGGTTGCAGCATTCCACAGGCACATGACTGTCATCTGCTACACAAGGAAAGTCAGTGGGAAGTCAGCAGGTCGTTAAGTCACTCCCATTACTTTTTTGCTTCCTCATGCTTCTTAGTGCCTGGCCATGGCATCTGCCCATGCTCTGTAGTTTGCTGCTTACAACAGTTGCTTTCCTGGGACAACAACCAACCCATTTACCCATTCATGCTCCATAGCGCCTGCCTGTAGCACCCACCAGCCCTTTTGTGGCTTTAACCTATAGCTCTTACTCATCAACCTACTTGCCTGAGGTTCCTGCCTTTTCCCACATCACAGTATTTCCTGGATTGCTGTTGCTATGCAATGGGGCCATGTGGCACCTCCTGCTTTACAACCACATTGCATAGTGATGGAAATTCCAGTCCTAATTGCTATCATAACCCAACCACTACCTGTAGTCATTTTGAAAATTAAAAAAGCATTTTCCAGGGGCCATTTGGCCTTTATGTTAGTTTTAACTAAATGGTGCTTATGTTGTACTGGATTTTTACTTATTTTTATTGTGCACATGTGACTTTTAATGTTTTTGTCTTGATTTTGTAACAACATTGTGGAGTCACAGTTGATGTTTGATTTTTTTTCCAAGGATGGCCCCACAAATACATGAACAAATCTAAATTATCTAAATGAGTAGCTAGGTTATTAATTATTAAATTTACATGCTACCTATCTTGCAGTTCAAGGCAACTCTGAGAAGTTTACAATGTAATAAAAACACAGATAAAAACAATTATAAATATAAAAACAGATTAAAATTACAAAATATTAAAACAAAAAATCAGGGATTTGGAGCAGAGCAGTGATGCTGTCTTCTTGTGTTAATGAACCAACCACCTCTAGCCAACAATGGAACAATGCATTCTTATGGCCAAAACTATCTTCCCCAAAGCTGAGACAGACAGAAGAGTCCTAATTTCATCCTCAAGGGATATTATCACTATTTTGAAGTTGTGTGCAAATAAGAACAATTAGTAATCTTCACATGACTGAACATAGTATAATATAGTAATCATTAGGCCTGGAAACACCAAGTTCAAATCCACTATGACTATGGTAATACAGTGGGTCACTGCTTCTTAGCTCAATCTATTTCATGAGCTAGTGTTCTGGGGATAAAATGAAGAACACCCCCCTCCCCCAATTATCTTCCAAAACCTGGAAAAGATAGGAGGCAAATGAGCAAAAAAATTCAACATCAAATCTTCCACTACCAACTGGATCTCAGCTCTACATTCCAAAAGTGCCATGTTTATTATGGAAAGAACATTTGGGAGTTGGTGCAATTATCCATTATTGGCAGGCTCTACCTCAGTCTGTGCCAACCTGGATGAGCTGGAACAATAATTGTCAGGATCCCCAACCAAAATGGCCGATTCTGAGAGTTGCAGTCCCAGATGCCCATGTGGGGAAGGCTGTTCTGTATCATGTGAATTGCTTCAGAAAAGCACAGGATTGAATAAATTATGGAAAGAAAGTCACAATTTCTGTTATCTGTGAAGCAGAATTTGGATGACTATATGTAAAGAACTAGATAAACCTGCTCTTGCAGATCCTGAGAAGCAAAAAAACCAGATTTACTTGTTATATCACTGGTATGCTGGATTTTCCTAGCAAAATGATAAATTGCAGAAGACTCACAGACTATTGCAAACTAAGCTACCAAATTCTAGAGGCCGGGGCTTGCAAACTACATTTTAACAACAAACGGAATTGGAACAAAAAAATGAATGTTGCCTATTGCAATTATATATATTAGATTTTTATATAATAGGTGGAAAAAAGGAAGTTTTGCCAAGAATTTAGAGAGATAGAGCACAATGGTATAAATTTGGTGATCCAGAAAGGGCCCTGAAGGATGATGACCTTTTCACTGATCACTACCAAAAGCATACTGATCCAGGGTGAGGCATGTTAGTTGGTGGCTTAGAAAACAAGGACAAGAAATGTATGAAATTTCTGTGGATGTAGGTTATTAGTGTGTAAATTTAAATAGGGAATATCACAAATGAAAGATTATGTGTTCAAATTCAGCTGCTTGGAATGGTGCCTAAGTCTATCATCTGCCTAGCTAATACAGCATTAATAAGTTTTTTTGCATTACAAAAATATTTGGTTCCTTTATATATTTGTGTACTTTCTGAAACAAAATGCTTCACTCTGCAGTGTACTAAGCTTGGCTTGGGGTTATACTTTTAAATACAAGCAGCATCCAAGGCAGTTCAACAATTATGACTTGGGATTCAGTCTGGGGAGATTTAAGTTCAGAAGTACTCTCAGTCACTATAATTTCACCAAAGGAACTGGGCTAGTTGCTATTCTCATCCCAGCCCACCTCCTATAGTTATTTTGGAGAAAAATCAGATGAAGTACTGGTTAAGTACAGAAACTTGAAATCCTGGGCAAATTATGGAATATAATTCATAAATATAAACAAGAATTAGGCCATCTTTGCTTTGAACATATAATAGTCCAAGAAAAATAAAAACCTGTTCCTGGTTTGGGATAATTTTCATAAGATACTCAGGAAAAATTAGATATGTAATTTAAAGGAGGGGTCCCCAACTCCTGGTCCGTGGCATGCTGGAAACCAGGCTGCATAAACAAGCAAAGCCCCATCCATGGGATGCAGGCAGCACACGAAACCACACCTCCTCCGGTCCACAGAAAAATCTCCATGGAACTGGTCCCTGGTGCCCAAAAGATTGGGGGCCTCCAATTTATAGGGCAGATATCTTTCTCTCCACCCAATGTCACTGAGGATTTTCAAAATTAAGCTAGAAATTACACAGTCACTCTGCAATCTTTATCTGTTCACAAGAAATCTCCAGGATTTCCTTTTCTGGGCTGTTATTAAAAATAGAACAGTATGCATGCATTGAGAAGCAAATATAACACTGCCACTGCTATCCTCTCCGAGGCATCGTGATCTCAGACCTGAGCAAATGGATGTGGCTTGTGATTAGGAAGTACTGTGTCTAATTAATACGATTATAAAATAATTTAAATAAAGATTAGAGGGCAAGTTTTCATGGCCATTGAAATTATTTTGGGATACAGTTGTGAGAGACAATGAATATAAGCTAATATTTTGCAAGTGACTATCAACCTACATTCATTGCCTCACACAGTATTATCCTGAACTAATTTTAACAAAACATAATTGTACATAATTAAGATGTGAAAAACAATGTGCATTTAAACAGGTCCAGCAGTGGCCCTTTACAAACATCCCATGAGGCTGATGGAACCTTTTGGTTGGTCCGCCCCAAATGGATGATGAATTTTGATGTATACATGAAGGTGCTTATAGTTCTCTTGATGGCTTTAATGGACAGTTCTGATTTTGGATGTAGTTTTGGAAAATGGAGACTACCAAAGAGCAATAC